GACAGCCCTGCAGACGCATGACGACAGCCCGCCCACCCCTGAGCCTCATCTGCCCCAGGCCTCTTGTCACCAGCTCCCTCAACCATTCCTTGGGTGACAATTTCCACATCGTATGCCTCCCTGGGGCCCCTCCCCAGTCACACTCAAGTCTGTGCCCTTTCCTCTGCATGGGCAGGACCGGATTTGCACCAAGCCACCCAGAGCACAGCAGATAGGTTACATGCCTGATTCTGGCCTTTCTTGATGCAGACTGGGAGCATCAGGACCCAGCTGGCAACCCAGTCCTACGGCAGCACCTGTGGGGCATGTGGTCCACTGATCCCCTCAGATCTTCTTCAGAGAAGCTGAGCCAAGCCAGAGCTCCTCAGCCTAAAGAGGAAAGGCTGAAGTGCGGCCCCCGCAATTGCATGACCTGTCACAAAACTTGCTCTGGTCTGGTCAGCTGAGCCTGCCCACATCTTCCAGTCATTCATCTCAGACCTGTCACAAAAATAAACAGCTAGCCCTCCCAGCTCTGCAGCCTATTGAGTGGGTTCAGTCAGCAACCCCTCCCGTGATGGCCAACGAGAATCAAAGCCGACATTATCTGTGAGTACTTACTATATGCCAGGCACAGAGTAAGCTTTTGAGAAGGGCTTTTGCTCTCTCCACCTGATAGGTGAGGAAACTGAGGCACTGGAAGGTTAAAGGATCTTCCCAAGGTCAAGAACTACTTAGTAAAAGAGCTGGGGTTTGGATCTGGGCAGTCCAGCTCCAGGTCACCAGTTAAAGGGTTATCCAGGCCAGACTGTGGACAGGAGGTTGCAGCCCACCCGCGCCCCCACCCCCTGCACCTGCCCACGTGTCTATCACCAGGCATTGCCATTTGTTTGTTTTCAGCCAGCTCTCGGCCCTAGGACAAGTGTGGCAAGCGAGACTGTGTCAGAACCTCCATCAGTGTGTTTGAACATCTCCCAGCAGGCGCTTCTGCTGATCAGTTTTTACTCATTCTGCAGTAATTAGGGCCTTAGGTCTTACTTCAGCTAGCAAATCAGGGTGAACTTGGCCCCTGATGGGAGGGAGGGGTGTCCAGCAGGAAGAGCACTGGATCAGGAGTCCCAGGACTCAAGGACCAGCTCTGCCCTCCCCACATCACATGGTCTCCCCAAGCTTCATTTCCTTTTGTATAAAATGCAGAAGACGATGCCTTTTCTGCCTTGAAAACCAGAGAGCAAATGGGGAAAAACATTTGGAAAGCAACTTCATGAAAGAAAAGACAGCTTCGTTGTACGAGGCCCCATGCTAGGTGCTGCAGAAACACGTCTGAGCCTCACAAAAATCCTTTCAGCTGGAAGGTATTATCCCAGTTTTATAAGAAGCGGATGCTCCTGCGATGCTAGGTGACCTGATCCTCCTGCCATGGTTGTGGACTTGCTCATCTCTACCCCAGCTGGGACAGAGCTTAGGCCCCTCCCAAAAGGGGCCTAAGACCTTAGAATGACGGAGGGCTGGATGCAGCCCCCGCTGCTCAACAGGGCAGGTCAGGCAGCAAGACCCTAATGCTCCTCTCTACATGCACCATTAGCCAGACCACTCCGGCCAGAGACCAGGAGAAGGGGGCAGTAGGTAGAGGCAGAGCCTCAGAGATGAAGGGAGAAGTTCTGGGAGGCAGGGCCAGGTCTGCACTGAACCTGGCCCTAAAAAGCCCACGGCCTCCACAGAACCTCTACCCTCAAGATACCACGTCCTTCTCGTCCTCTCCTGCTCAAGGAGCCCCAAAAGCACCCAGCTCTTTTGCAGAGGTGTCCAAACATGCCATGCTAAATCCTCTGTGATCTGCACCTCTTGTCTATCAATACGGTCTGGGTTCTCCAATCCCAGAGTATGAGTGGAAACCAGGACTTGTGGTCATGTCCCCACAAAGCACCTGGCAGGGGAGGCCCAGATCCTCTCACAGGCACAGCAGCTCCAAGAGGACAGGTTTTGTCTGTTCCCTTCCATTCACTGCTGTGTCCCCCAGTGACCAGAACAGGCCTTAGAACACAGTACGTGAAGAATAAATATTAGAGAGAAAAGGGAGTCAGAAAATCCAATTTGTTTTCTTCCCTCTGTAGACTGGCAGCCATGGTGGGGGGAGAGACTCAACCCACATCTTCCTGGATATCAGGATCCACAGACCCACGGACCCATGGATCCACCATCCACAGATTCAGACACATACACCCACAGATCCTTAGATCCCTGGACCCAGACCCACACAGTCACACTCCCAGAGATCCACAGACCACACACCCACAGTGTGCAGGGCATATACAGCTCCCTGGGCTCTCTGAGCCCCCAGGCCAGACCCGGGACTCTAGGGGCACAAGAGCAGACTGAAGGCATTAAGGCTGGGGCATGTCCTAGGAACATATGGGAAGAAAACATTCTGCGGCAAAGAACAGGAGGCAGGGAAGGGGTTGGAAAGGAGAAGTGGGGACAGGAGGACAGGCGAGGAAGAGGAGCAGGGGAAGAGCTGGCGACAGTGGAGAAGGGATGTAGGGGAGAGCGCCCTGCTCTCCCTGCAGCCCAGGGGGGTCTCTATAGACCCCCACACCCAGCCCAGCATCCCCTCTTTCCAGACAGTTTTGACACCACGAGCTGGGGGGCTGAGGAATCAAAGAAGGCAGCTGCCGAAGTGGAGACAGCCACGGATCAAAGAGCCACACAGAAGCCTGTTTGGTTCCCTTGGAAAGCACTAGGAACTGCGGGGTGGCAGGAGCCCTGCCAGCGTGGGGGAGGGACAGAGTGGTGCCCAGAAACAGACTGGCCTGAGAGCCCCTTCCTTGGGGCTGAGGCCCAGGGCAGCCACAGTTGGGGTGTGGGTTGAAGGTGGCAGAGAGGGCCATGGAGGGGGGCATGATGAAGGAGACTGGGGGAGGGGAGTCGGAGGTGGTGATCCCCATGGGCTCAGGGTGGAGAACTGGGTCCAGAACCACAGAGAGGCTGCGGTCCCTAAAACTGCTCCCCGTTTGGCTATGGGCTCAGCAGGATGTCTGGAGCAGAGAGAGGGTGAGAGAGGAGGGGGTTCTCACAGCACCCTCCACCCCTACCTGACCACTCAAGGTCAAGGGGAGGCTGCAGGGACCCGAGGACTGCCTGGCGCCCCCTGGTGGGCCTGGAAGATGCCCTCTCAGCCCTAGCTTTCTCAGGAAGGCTTGGAATGGGGGCGAGGGGAAGGGCATGCAGGGTGAGGAGGAAGAAACGGGGAAGAAGTGGGCAGAGAACTTTGGTCAAAGGAAGGGGAAGGGGCCTCCGGCCAGCCCTGCAGCCCCTTCCCCAAGCCTCCTATCGTGAGCCCTGGGGCAGGCACAGCAGCTCTGCACAGCTAGGAAGAGAGCATGGAGGCCACAATGTGGTGCCCAGGCCCTCTGGGGTTGTGGGCAGGTTCATGGGTTTGGTGCCAGGCCAGCTCAACAGCCTCCAGGCACACTCTTTCCTTTTCCTCTTCCTCCCCCTGCTGCAGCCCCAGACCTGGTCCCTGCTCAGTGTCACCCTGTCCTGTCCTGACCTGTCATCCACTGGTGTCCCCTCCCTCTGTCTCTGCATTGACGGTGGAGGCGGGAAGGGAACTGGGAGGTCTCTAGACTCCCAGCCCAGTCCTGGATCCTGAAGCCTGAACAGAAAGTTTGTCCTGAAGGGTGGACAAGAGTTCCGGAAGTGAGTCCTTAGGGCTAAGAGAAGCCACAGATCCAAGAGGTGACCAGGTGCCAGCAGGGCCTGAGGACGGGGCACAGGAAGGTAGGCCCACACCCGGGGCCAAACCCTTCCCCTGGGCTGGGCCACAGACCCACACCTCTGTTCACACAGCATCCTAGCCCCGAGGCGGTGCCAGCCTCTGCGGGGTGAATCCTCCAGGCGGTGAGAGACAGAGGACGAACTGGCCACTGCCTGGGCCAATCTGAGTGCTCCAACCAAGACTCTCCTCACATGGTGATCAGACCCCAGCACACCACACACGCCAGACACGCAGGCCCACTCCAGCGCTCGCTCATTCTCTGTCTGTCTCTCTCTCTCTCTCTCTCTCTCTCTCTCTCACACACACACACACACACACACACACACACACACACACACACCTGGACCCAGGACATAGACCCTCAGGACGAGAATATAGCGCAGAGGTCTTCTCAGACCCCAATCTCATCCTCAGATCAGGACCCCCCAGGGCTCTGACAGGGAAGAAAGACACTAGCAGAGGGGCTGACTGAGGCCTCAGCCTGGGCCCCACCACAGCCCCCTCCCCCAGGCACCATGACTTCCCCCAAAAGAGGCCTCCCCACCACTGCCAAGCCCCCTAGTCCCCCACAGCTCCCCCCTAACACCACCCAGTAGGCAATTAGTACCCAATCATCATGAGCACTCATTACATAACACCTCCAGCCGGCGAGGGTCCCTTTCACCCCTACAGCCCCGGCTCCGACCCTGGCCTGGCTTCATGCAGCGAGGCCTCCGCCCCGCTGGGGTGCGGGCCAAAGAGGGGGTCTCCGCCACCCCGACCTCCAGCAAAGTTAAACCCTGCCCGGGATTCCCCCATCCAGTGCCCCCCGCTGCTGCGCTCCCGGGCCAGCGCTCCCAGCTCAGCCCGCCGGACACAGGCACCAGCTCTGGCCCAGCTGCCCGCAGAGCCGCAGCCGCTGAGGGGCGGCCGGACGCGCGGACAGCCCGGGCCCCGGCCGCCAGCCTGACTTGTTGAATAAATTTCTGCAGCGCTGGCTCAGCTGGCTTCAGTATTGGCACCGAGAGAACTTTCGTGGCCTTGGAGAGGGGACCGGTCAAAGTTTCCTGTCCTTCTTCCCAAGGCATGGCCCCGAAGGCGCGGGATGGGGGGCTCACCTGACGGGTACGCGCGGGTGGGGAGGATCGGTCCCCAGAAATAAATAAATAAATGCCCCAGTGAAGAGAGAAGCCAACGCGCCAAGAAACTGGCATCGAAACGAAGCCCTCCCTTCCTTCCCCCCACCCACCCCGCCCCCACCTACCTTGGCATGGACCTGGCCCGGCCGCGGGGGGTCGTCCAGGTTAGAGACGCGGAGACGACGCGTCCGCACCCGAAGCCGGCGATCGAGAGGGACCTCCAGTCCCGCCAGCCGACCCCCCGCCAATTCAGGATCAGCTGAGCCCCCGGGGCGCGGGAGGCGGCGGGCGGGGGGCGGCGGGCCCGGGGGCCCGGGCCATGGTGGGAGGAGGAGGCGGCGGCGGCGGGCGGGAGGGACGGCGAGGCTCTGGGCGGGCGGCGGGCGGGAGCGCGGCGCTCCGGGCCGGGGCGGGGGCGCGGGTGCTGCGGGGACCGAGCGGCGGGGCAAGTGCCCGGGAGAGACCGGCGCGGCGGGGAGCGCGGGGCTGGGGCCGGTCTCTCGCCTGCCTCGGCTCTGCTCGCGCCTCCGGCTCCGGGCTCGAAGCGCGGGGTCTGCGCGCGGCGGGGGCTGCGGAGGAGCCCGAGCGCCTGGCGGTGCGGGGACGTGCGGCGGCGGCGAGACCGAGCCGCGCCGCGTGCGAGGAAAAGCCGTCCTTATACTGACACCAAATGTCTTCGGGGAAAGCTGCAGGCGCGGGACGCTGGGGGGGGAGGCGTGGAGGCGACAGACAGACTGACGGCGGTGGCTGGTGAGCTCCCTGCCCCTCCCCAGGGGGCAGGAAGCCCCCAGCCCGCGGCCAGCTCCTTAAAATTAAGGGTCGTGCCTGGGGGAGGGTCCTGACCCCTCAGCATGGGGGCTGCGTCAGGAGTAAGAAGGTGGGGGGGGTGGCAATACTGACCACCCCCGTGTCCCAGGTGACTGCTCTGCCGCATTCCACCCTGCTTCCCACTGAGATCCAGGTCGGGGGTGTTTACCCCACTGTCCCGGGAAGGGGTCACCCACCTAAGGCCCCAGCTCTTAAACGGTAGAGCTGAGCTAGAACCCAGCTCTAGAGGTCGCTCCACCTCCCGGACTGCCTCCCCACTTCTCATTCACACCGCTGCTCCTTCCCACCCTCCTAGGCTTGGCTGAAAGGCCACCTCCTTCAGGAAGGCTTCCCAGAGGGCCCCCAGGTGGAACAGATGCACCTCCTCCAGGAAGGCTTCCCAGAGGGCCCCCAGGTGGAACAGATGCACCTCCTCCAGGAAGGCTTCCCAGAGGGCCCCCAGGTGGATCCAGCTGCAAAGGCTTCAGTCTCACCACTTCCCAGGACCCTGTCACACCGATTCCCCCAATCCCATGCTCCTCAGGCCTGTCTCCCTTCCTATCTCACCCAAGGGCTGTGGACTGGGGAGAGGGAGTGTTCAAGGTTATAACCTCCTTTTATTTGTTCATTTGCATGCAGTCAAACAAATTAAAGGCATCAAGACTCTCCTCAATGCAGGCCAAATGGTCTACTCACTGCCTCACAACGCAGGAAGCATTTAGTGAGCACCTGCTGTGTGCTAGGCACCTCTTTAAACCGCCTGGAGTTCCACCCTTTTGACCCCATTTTACCGATGAAGAAACTGAGGCCAGAGATGAGCTGCCTGGCAAAAGTTACTCTGCTGGGAAGCAGTAGCCCCCCCAGTACGAGTCCAGTGCTCCCAACCCCTGCCCATATGTCATCACGCTGGGCTGCCCAGCACAACCCTCTCCACCTCCTGGGAGAATGTGTGGTGAGGGGCACCAGGGGGATGCTGAGGGCTGCCTTGGGCACCCCCATGCTGGCAGATAGTCACAGCTTTAGAGAAAGGTGCACTCTGGTTTGATCCCAGCTCTGCTGCTTCCTGACTGAGGATGGGAAGCAAGCCCCTTAACATCTCTGAGCCTCAGGTGCCTCATCTGTGAAATGGGGATAAGGGTTCACACTTTGCAGGATGCAAACCATCTTTAAAGGGCTTAGCACAGTGCCTGACACATAGTAGGTGTCCAACAAATATTCATCCCTTTCTAGCTTTTAATCTAAGGAGACAAGACAAGCCTTTGTAACCAGACTACAAGGCAAGGTCGTGTAAGCACGCAACGGGCTGAGAGGTGTCTTATAGGTGTGAATTCAGCAAGCCAGACAGCCCTGCGGGTGGGACGGATTTATATCAGATCAGAGTGGGCTTTAGATCAGGAGTCTTCAGGGAAGCCTCATCAAAGGCGAGAGACTTGAGCTGAGCCTTGAAAGCTTGTACAGGATTGAGATAAGAAGAGAGAAGTGGGTAGAGAAATGGCATCAAGGACGGAGAAGGCGGCCGGGCGCGGTGGCTCAAGCCTATAATCCCAGCACTTGGGGAGGCCGAGACGGGCGGATCACGAGGTCAGGAGATCGAGACCATCCTGGCTAACACGGCGAAACCCCGTCTCTACCAAAAAAAATACAAAAAACTAGCCGGGCGTGATGGCGGGCGCCTGTAGTCCCAGCTACTCGGGAGGCCGAGGCAGGAGAATGGCGTGAACCCGGGAGGCAGAGCTTGCAGTGAGCTGAGATCCGGCCACTGCACTCCAACCTGGGCAAGAGAGCCAGACTCCGTCTCAAAAAAAAAAAAGGAGGGAGAAGGCATGGAGGCAGGAACAAGGTAGCATGGCAGGCACTCCATGTCCTGAGAAGCTGAATGCACAGCTAGAAAGCCCCAGGCCTGGAGGGTGAAAGAAATCAGGCGGCACGATGGGGAGACGATACCAACCATTGCCAACTTCCTGCCATTTTCCTCCAGCGACGTTTTCATAAAGCAAAGTTCAGAAGGCTGGACAGGACCTGGAGAAGCCACCAGACGGTGAATTCTCAGGTCTGGGTCCCTTCACCTATAGTCCTCCGAAGTGGCCACCCTGTCCCTGCTTGTACACCTGAGGTGACGTAGATCTCACCACCTCCTGGGGCAGCTTCTCTGCTCTCTGGTATCTCTGATCATTCAAAGCTCTTTTATAGATTTGAGCAGAAATCTGCTACCCTCCGTGATCTGGGCCCCTTCCTTGTCTTGACCGGACTAACACTCCCACCTCAGCCTCCTTCAAGCATCTATACTAGCAGAAACCCCTGTTTTATATCTAACCTAAATGTCTTATGTTTCTTTTTTTCTTTTTTTTTTTTTTTTTTTTTTTTTTTTTGAGACAAGCTCTCACTCTATTGCCCAGGCTGGAGTGTAGTGGCTCAATCGCGGCTCATTGCAGCCTCGACTTCCCAGGCTCCAGTGATCCTCCCACCTCAACCTCCCGAGTATCTGGGAACACAGGCACACGCCACCACACCTAGTTAATTTTTTGTACTTTTTGTAGCGACGGGGTTTCACCATGTTGCCCAGGCTGGTCTCGAACTCCTGGGCTCGAGCGATCTGCCCACCTCAGCCTCCCAAAGTGTTGGGATTACAGGCATGAGCCACCACGCCTGGCCCATGCTTTATGTTTCAACTAAAACCCTAGGCCAAGTGCGGTGGCTCACACCTGTAATCCCAGCACTTTGGGAGGCTGAGGTGGGTGGATCATCTGAGGTCAGGAGTTCAAGCCTAGCCTAGCCAACATGGTGAAGCTCTGTCTCTACTAAAAATACAAAAATTAGATTGGCGTGGTGGCAAACGCCTGTAGTGCCAGCCACAGGGACGCTGAGGCAGGAGAATCGCTTAAACCCAGAAGGCGGAGGTTGCAGTGAGCTGAGATCATGCCGCTGCACTCCAGCCTGGGTGACAGAGCGAGACTCCATCTCAAAAAACAAAAAAAAAAACTTACTTGTCCACTGTGTCACTATTCTGTCCACCCCACTATCCACCCAGGATAGGGAGTGGGTTATATGGATATGAGGGATGACCCTGAAACCCACTGGGGCTGAGAGTACTACTCCATGTCTCAGCAAGAAGCAGGACTGGGGAGGTCCCTCCTGAGGGCCCTTGCTGACTGCAGGAGTTTCGTCCATGCATTACTGCTATTTATATTATGCCTGGTAATTGCAGAAGGCTGCATCAGCCACACCTTTGTTGGTCCCACCATGTCCTGGGAGTAGGGCTGCCAGGCCACTGCCAGTGGGCGGACAAGGTGGACCCTGGCCTGGAGCCCCCTAATGCACCCACATGACAAATGAACCAGGCTCCCTAGACCCGGAATCCCCTGCCCTCTTCCAGGGACAAAACCCAACCAGGTTCTTCCTCACTACTGCAGCAGCTGCTGGGCCCAGGCTCACCTCCGCCCCCCAGAACTTGTTTGCAATTGTAGTGGCTGGATAGAAAGGGATCTTCTGTCCATGGGGACAAATAAACAAGCTGGGCTGAAGGAAACTGGGGCAGAATTCCTGCCCTGTGACATGAAATGAGGTCCCTTCCAGGCCTAAAGATCTTAATAGCACAAGGACAAAGATTCCAGTATGCTCAGAATTCACACTGATTTATTTCTCAAATGCTCACAGATGCTCTATCTGTGCCAGGCCCTGGTGTAAGCACTTGACAAAAATTAACCCCCTTAAGTCTTACTATAATCTTGTAAAATCAGACCAGGTGCAGTGGCTCATGCCTGTAACCCCAGCACTTTGGGAGGCCCAGGTGGGTGGGTCACTTGAGGTCAGGAGTTCGAGACCAGCCTGGCCAACATGGCGAAACCCTGTCTCTACCAAAAAATACCAAAACTAGCCCGGCATTGTGGCATGTGCCTGTGTAGTCCCAGCTCCTCAGGAGGCTGAGGCAGGAGAATCACTTGAACCCCGGAGGCGGAGGTTGCAGTGAGCCAAGATCATGCCACTGCACTCCAGCACTCTGGGTGACAGAGTGAGACTCCGTCTAAAAAAAAAAAAAGAAAAGAAAAGAAGGAAAGAGAAAGAAAGAAAGAGAGAGAGAGAAAGAAAAAAAGGGGAAAGAAAGAAAAGAAAAAAATCTTGTAGAATCATTGCTACCATTTCACAGGTGAGAAAACATTGGCACAGAGAGGTTAGGTAACTTGCTCAAGGTCACACAGCTAATAAATGGAAGGGCTGGGATTCCAATTCAGGGGGTCTGTGCTCTTAACTAGGATCCTAAGTTCTAAGACTCAAAAGCTCTGAAAGTCCACATTTCCAGGATTCCAAACTGACAGAGTGGCTCCACCTACTAAAGGAGGAAGGGAAATGGCCTGAGTTCCCCTCCTGCCATGGGCCACCCCGAGGTGGAGCACATTCCTCTGGGACATGGAGACGGGCCTCTCTCACCAGCCCTGCTCGGGCCCCAGAATCCCAGTCATGCTGCAAGCACTGATGTGGCCTAAACACCTAAGAACCAGGCCAAGACAGGAGCACTGGACCCCAAATGTCCCTGGC